ACGATAATCGATGTAGCACGCCCAGACAGACTGAGGAGGGGGTTAGAGGGAGCTGCGGGGAGTCGTCATTCCAGGGAGACAGATGTTGTATGATTCAGGACTGAACACGAGGTGTCTCAGAACAATATGGCTGCTCATTCTACCTACATTGTGAGGGTGAAACAATACACCTTCCACCATAGCATCAGTACATGAAGACTTGGCTACAATATGCTACACCTATGGACCTGTACAGCTTTACTTGACCATACAATGTCTGTATCTTTCATGCGCTTGACGAGAGAGTGAGTTTAGTTTTACGCCGCACTCAGCATATTCCAGCTACATGGCGGCGGTCTGTAAATAATCGACACTGGACCAGACAATCCAGTGATCAACAGCATGGGCATCGATCTGCGCAATAGGGAACCGATCACATGAGTCAACCAAGTCAGCGAGCCTTACCACTCAATCCTGTTAGTTGCCTCTTACGACAAGCATGGGTTACTTCAGATCAATATTCTGACCCGGATCTTCACGGGTCCGCTGACGAAAGAATAATCAACCTAAATACTGTGTCCTCAGTATCTGCCAAGTAGGAATTACAGTCTATTCAATGATGAACACCAAAACAACTTTGGGGTACAAGAGATCTATTCTGCTTTAAACTTCAGTGAAAGACAAGCTTTGAGGTACTGGGAGTCTATCCTGCTCTTACCCCTCAAGGAAAGTCAAGCGTTTGATTCTATCGACTGATTCTATAATTTACCCCAAAGTATGACAATACGTGTCATACCGGGACCTTTTCTATCTTATACACTTTGGAGAATTACCATAGAAATAGGGTTGAGCGAGTTGTGAATAAGATTGCTTTGAACAGCATATCAACAACTTTACAACTCTTCGGCTTAGAGAAGAAAGAAGTACTGTTGCTAAGCAGATATGCACAGGTATGGTTGCGACGGACCAAGAATGCTGACCATGGAGAATCTTGGATTAGAACGAGGGACCAGCTCATTTTCTAACAAAGGGACAAAACTCTGTAGAGTTGTCTGCCCTTGAGGCCAAAGGGAGACTACCCTGCCTGGTATATACCACTGTTATCACACCTGTCTCCTGGTCAGATTAGCAGCACCCTGATCTGCCAATGAACTAGCCCACCAACCCTCAAAGATGGAATATCCCATCCGTCTGGGCGTGCTACATTCACAGAAAAATAGGATGGAAATGGGTCGGTCTAACAGATTTACGATAAGGAATCAACAGAAAATGACAAAACTTATATCTAAACAAACACATGCACAAAACATGACAGTGCAGAGGAAACAGTGTGATCCATCTGAGAACAGATGCAGCTTCTGACACACTGGACAGCATCCAGCTCATACATCATCTCAATAACAATCAAAACTCCACACACAAATAATATCCTATAATATACAACTAAATGAGCAAATGGAGACTAATTAAATTCATTGATCAGTTTACTCTAAAACTTAATCGTTAAAAACTACACTTCTTTTTGCCTAGAGTCAACATCGGCAGCTCACACTTACAAGGAGCTTCCGCCCATATCAAGGTATTAAATAGCGAGTGAAAACAAAAATAAACAACAAAATATACAATCTCAGAACAATGTCCTGTGTATTGGAAGCCCAGTACAACATGTTCTATCTATTCTTCTGTTCAAGGTTCACCTTATTTGCCCAGAAACAAATTTGATAAATCAGATTTGCAATCAGAAGAATCATGTTTTCTCAGGCAATGATTTACTTGCATATTCTCATCAAAATAATTTGTTTCCACCCTCAATTTTTTAGATTTTTATTTACAACTAGTAAGTATGATTAATCTAAACATAGGCCATACTTTATCTTTGATGAAGACTCTGAAGGTGGCACACAATGGGGTTAATAATTACTCATTAATTTTCATGGTCTACTGTAAAATTAGACGAAAAAGCAGTACTAACTAGAATTTATAAAACTAACATAAATTAGCCATTATAGTCCTAATAGTTCAAAACAGTATTTGTTCTTCTTTGCTTAAAAAATAAGTCTAGAATATATTTACATTTTTTCAGTTGTTTTACTCCAAATCTATATAAAATTTAAACATTTACAATAGTATACTTGAGTTGTCTTATCAACAATGACATCACAGTTTTGTCCACCCAGCAGTGCTATAAGATTGTTGGACTAAGTCTGTATATCGACCAGTTCCTAGCTGTATTTACTTTGACAGCTTCATATCTATTTTTAACTGATAGCCCAGTTGGGATTTCCCTTTCCTTTAATGCCCAATATATGGAGAGATTTATCAGTTATATTCCCCAGATACCAGGGTACATGAAATATTGCACCTTTCAGCAAACTTATCACTTAAATAATTAGCACATTCACATAAATGTTCATTAGAAGAAAATGTATTTATATAGGATATCAATTTTAAATTTGAAGAATATTTTAATTTCTAAATGACCTGCAAAACAATTATTTGTGACATCATGATTCAGATTAATATTTTGGGTAATAAACTTTATAGAAAACTGATACTTTTTAGGAACTCCACACAAACATACTTTCCTGGCTGTATAGTTATTTTTAACTTTGAATAAAATTATTTGTGACACAATACAACATAGGATATAGTATATACACTCAAATAAAGCTTTGATTTAATTTGATCACATTATAGTTCACATAACAACTGTAAAACCTTCTATACTGAAGTCAGACAAACATGTACCGTAAATTCCCCAAATAGGGAACACACCCTGACTCAAGGTCGCCTCTTGGAACCTTTAACTAGTTTTGTCAAGTTTAGTTCAGTGTAATATCTATTGAAAAATATATAATTTCATTATTTAAAAAAATATCACTTTAATATCTGTATCATCAAACTGCATCAATCCATAATTATCACCTTGGCTTCTTTTGATTCATCGATTTCAACTCGATCTAACCACATGCCCTGTTTCTAGGCTGTATTTACAAGGTTTAAACCGTGCTGTCCTTACTAGTCATGTCTGGTTATAGTTGTGAACCAATACATTTAATCTCTGTCAGGTGAATCAAATATACTTGTGGCAAAGTCAGAAGGAAAGCTCACTGGAACAATATTACTGTCTGACAGATTTCTACAGACTTCACATCAAGCGGTTTCACATTATGACATGCCAGGATGAGCTACATTACCATGGATCACTGTCCTCAGTCCCAACACCATCATATCCCTAAGACAATTGCCACATCCTTACCTTAATACCAACATAAGACAGTCGTTCCATTAAGATCACTCTGTGGAACGGGCTCTCTCACGCAAAACTATCTTACTGCCATAGATCTTTCTAATGGAGAGAAGCTACAATCACTTTGTACAATGGGTCAAGGTCTTTCCAAATGTTACCAGCATTTTTGTTGGGTGTCCTGATCTGGCCATCCCAGGCCCCGATCTATAAGTTCAGCGGCTAAGACAGCCTAGCACTACAAACACTTATAGGGGCGGGCGGTCATTCCTCCCTGAATCCTAACAGTCGCAATAACAGTCATTATGACCTTCTGACTAGCCTTCTAATGCCCAAGAAATTAAGTAAGCCATACCTACAATCATGGGATATAATATCAGCAAAAACGCAAGTAAATATTTTGACTAAGATATTGCCAGGAGAATATGTCTGTCTCGCACTTATTTGAAGGTCATATAGACATACAGACGGTTGCAAGGTGAAGGTTACTATGGGTATCAAGGGACATAACTCAGTAGATACACTGATGATTCATATGGGAATACTTGGAATGTTTTATATTGTAACAGTTTGTGATGTTGTAATATATGATTCATAAATACTGATTTAAAAATACAGCTTCACTCAGACGCTCGACAGCACCATTGCCATGATTTGGTGAAAACTTGAAATATGTAAATTCTCATACTTGCAGCTAAAATGATTGATCCCACAAAAAAGATGTATTTTATCAGATGTTTTAAAAGATGTATTTAACTCAAAGCTCTGACACTAAAATTTCTTCTAATGTTAATAAATGTACGCATGAAACTGACACCAGCATGGGGTCAACTGGTCAACTGTTCATGTCTTGCTGGAAAGTGACCAGGGAATTAGCAACATTGATTCTAGTGACATGTTTGTGTTATGAACTATTTTGATATAAACAATGCTGCACCACAGTTAAGATTATAATATACATATATACACATCATTTGTCTACCCTGAAACTACTGTGACAGTAACCACGGCAACACTGCAAGGACAACTGTTAAGCTTAACTGCCCCAGTTAACAACATCAAAATACATATCGTAGCAGCTGTGGTTACCCATCCCTTCATCAGCTCACTTTTGTAACCACATGGTTTTGGAAAACAGCATGACAGGTCCTTCATTATGTTGGATGTTTATTTAGGGGGAATTCAAACTGGCTTCCTTCTTTAAAATTTATTTTAAATTAAATTAACCATACATATTTGGAGGTGATTAAGGAAGAAACGGGTATATATAAATATATTTTTCTAAATGATTTAAGGCTCTTCAAGAAACAGATGTATGCTGCAAATTGCAAATTTGCTACCTGTCGATACATATCTATCTGTAGCCCCTTGTGGTGACATCTGGAGAAATTAGAAATGAAGAAGTGGATACTGTGACCATAATAAATATTGTAATAATTAAAAAAAGTTTAAAAATAAATGATTTTGAACAGGATCTAGAAGCAGAACTGACCAAACATATGAGTGACTGAGTGTAGTTTTACGCCGCTTTTAGCAATATTCCAGCAATATCACAGCAGGGGACACCAGAAATGGGCTTCACATATTGTGCCCATGTGGGGAATCGAACCTGGGTCCTTGGCGTGGCGAGCGAACGCCTTAACCACTAGGCTACCCCACCTCTCCCAAACATATGAATAATCTTCAATGAAGTTATCTTTGTTTTATGGACAAATCAATCTAGTCAATTGTGTTTCATGGCTGTGTTTAGTGGGAAATTTGTGTTTTTTTGTCCTGAATTTGAAAATAGTTGATTTGTTAAATTTTGATAACAAGTGATTCTGAGGTTGTATTTAAGGGTTTTACTTGGATGAAATGTTGTAATGGAAAAGCGGTAAAACCTGTCATGAGGCCTCTTACATTTATTAGTTTAGGAGAAAACGAATTGTCGTCAGCCATGCCAATATGGACACATCGAGCCCCCAGTCATCATCCTTGCAGAGTTGTTACTATGGTTATTATTGTGGGTCTATTGTGACATTTGGTTGCTATGGCTACATGTCTGTACAGTGCTGTACAGTAAACGTGTAAAACAGTAAATCAACAATCAACAAGTAGGTACACAATGAGCAATGGAGAAACTACACAACAGTACCACAGTATACAGTGTACCTTAGACTGTACACTGTACTACAAACTGTACATCTGTACAACCTCAATAACACAAGCACCATAGTCCACAATCAAACTTGTTTTCTCCAACCAATCAAATAACTAATACCTAACTCAAAACTTAAAAAGTCTAGTCAAATGATATCTACCGATAACTGACACTATACCAAAAGGACAAGTAGATGCTTTCTACCCCTTGGTTGAAATAAGTTTAGTGAACCTTTTTAAAACGTGTGAAATTTGACATTTTATTAGTCTGGCCTAATAAATGAAGATCTATTTACCGGGAGATACTCCCAAAGTTTCTAGAGGTTTAACTAAATAAAATCTCATTGATAAGACAAATCTGTTTTAAGTTGATTCAGTCTGGCTCTCGAATCAATTGTAATGTATTCTGTGTAAACTATCCAGCATTGTGCTAGTTATTCAGGCTGAACAGAAAAATACATTTAAATCAAAATGTACAGAAATATCTAAAATATATTTATAGCACACAATATGCTTCTCATTCAGGCACATCGAAAGGGAGGTGTTGCAGAAATAATGGAGGTGTCCCTGATATTGGGATTCTGGTGATTTGTAATTAAACAAATTCACATAAATTTAAGCAAAAATATCTATTCTGACAAAAATGTTTAGGATCATGAATATTCAAGATATTTTAATAAAATTGTGTGGTTCCACCACAAAACAATATCCCAAAAAATATTCTGGTCCCTAACTTTTCTGGTTCAGCTTAAATTTAACACAAGCAGAGAGTGCTGAAAACAAATGAATTTGAATTTTTCCATGCATCATAACACAGTCAACAGAACGAGGACACTTCCATTACTTCTACATGCCCGGTGCCTCCATGGGATGCAGTCTATGAGCTGCATTACAATATGATTTACATCCAGTTGTGATCAGAATGACATACAAATATCAGAGTCTGGGTAAAACTCAGTGTAACAAAGTAAAAGTGGTAAAAAAGTGACTGGTTGAGATACTCCAACATTGTGACTTTACATTCAGATGTCATGGGTGAGTGAGGTAGCTACTGAGTAGGAAGTGGTCATTACTCGGGGATACAATGCAATCCCTTGTTTCAGATGAACTCAATAGACGGAGGAATGTTTTCTATTAGTTATTGTTTAGTTAATGTCAAACACGGATGTTGTGTTTAGAACCGACCTTAGTTGCAATGTATTTCCAATTTGTTTATTAAAATAGCTACAGCAAACATAACATGCAGAAATATTAAAAAAACATTCCAAATTTAAGAAGAGATTTCTTTTGTGAATATTTGAGTTGAAATAGTATGATATTTTGGGGCCCATCAACAATTTTGGATATTTCAGTCAATATTATTCTGGTGTTGGAAATATTTTACAAAAGCTATAGTGCTAGTATGTCAAGGAATGTATCGTGAACGTGGAAAGGCGTTTTCTAGTCTCTTAATGTCAGCCACATTCACATAACTGAATATAAAGTCACAACTGAGAGCTTTCTGGGACAGAGACCTCCGATCACTGAAGGCTCTAGGAGAGTCTTTGTTCCTTCTTGTTACCATGGTGACATGAGCACAATAAATAGTGTGACAAACATGACATAACTCAGGAAGGAAAGGTGAAGGCCGACGACTATCCGGTGCCAACTGTCACTCCAACAATCAGTGCGATAACGGCCAATAGAACAAAGACACAAATTATGATAATAATCTTTTTCTGAAAAACAGAAAGATACATTGAAATTAAATATTGAAAATAAGGAAATGACAATAATATCATGCTGAGAAATATCATGGCACTACAACAGGATAAATCAAAGTTACATTCAAAGGCATCTCAAACACATAATAAAAAGAATGCAATACAATGGGACAGAATCACAAAAAGAACTTTTAACATGCTCAGAAACCTAAAATCTATTAACACATTCTAATGACAATACTCAGGTAAATATACTACAGTACGATATCGATGGTACACACATATAGATAGTTTGTGTGACACTATATTGTGGTTGTGTATAGATTGTATCAGCTGTTTCTTCGGGTTTCACATTTCGGTAAATGTATGCTAACCCCTGCATCTACTACCATCATTGTCTCAGTCTCAGATTACCTGCCCTTGATTTCCATTATATATGATATATCTGCCTCAGCCAGTCAACACACTCAGTCAACTCATAGTGTTTATTTACTGATCCAAGAAGCCATAACTGCTGTCCCTATCTACAGGGTATATATGTTATATCTGCCAATCCAGTCAATTCACCCACCTTCATGACTGAGCCAATAGTGTAACAGCTGTCCCTCTCTACAGGGTATAGATGTTATATCTGCCCCATCCAGTCAACTCACCCACCTTCATGACTGAGCCAATTGTGTAACAGCTGTCCCTATCTACAGGGTATATATGTTATATCTGCTCCATCCAGTCAACTCACCCATCTTTACTGCGCCAATAGTGTAACAGCTGTCCTATCTACAGGGTATATATATTTATATCTGCCCCATCCCAACTCACCCATTTCATTACTGAGCCAATGTGCTGTCCTATCTACAGGGTATATATGTTATATCTGCCATCCAGTCAGCTGTCCTATCTACAGGGTATATATGTTATATCTGCCCCATCCAGTCAACTCACCCATCTTCATTACTGGGTAGCCAATTGTGTAAATATCTACAGCTGTCCCTATCTCCATCAGGGTAATACAGGGTATATGTTATATCTGCTCCATCCAGTCAACTCACCCACCTTCATGACTGAGCCAATAGTGTAACAGCTGTCCCTATCTACAGGGTATATATGTTATATCTGCCCCATCCAGTCAACTCACCCACCTTCATTACTAAGCCAATATCTGCAGTGTAATGTTAAGCTGTCCCTATCTACAGGGTATATATGTTATATCTGCCCCATCCAGTCAACTCACCCATCTTCATGACTGAGCCAATAGTGTAACAGCTGTCCCTATCTACAGGGTATATATGTTATATCTGCCCCATCCAGTCAACTCACCCATCTTCATTACTGAGCCAATAGTGTAACAGCTGTCCTTACCTCCAACATATGCATGATCTATCAGCTCTATCGAACCAACCCATCCAGTCAACTCACTATATTCACTATAATCTCTGAACCAACAATATAACCACTGTTCTGACCTCCACGATACAAGACACATCTGCCTGAGCTTGTCATCTCACACAACCTCATTTTCAGAACCAATAGTCCCTACCTGAATCTCAATGATATACAATATTTCTGATTAAGCTCACTTGTCTATCAAAACCAGATGGCTCTATGAGATACATCTGCCTCAGCTAGTGAACTTACCCGTCTGGCTTTACTCTGATACTTGACAGCTTTCTTCGTGTCCATCTTGGCCGTCTCTATGTAGTCTACTGCCTGCTCCACGTTGTACTCAATCCGATCTATCATCTCCCCCTGCAACACAACACTTACTGTACACCAGCCCAGGTTCACCAGCACAAACGTAGAGAATGGATGCAGAAAGCCCCACATAACGCCTCCGGAGAGACACACAGAATACAAAGAATATACCTACAGCGCATCAAGGGTAGATATCTGTGTATTTCACCCATCAGTCATGACCACTGTCCACTGGCGGTCCGGCTCTGCAAGCAATTATCTACACCACTTCAATACCATTTCACTGGACCCTCATAATACCAGCAAGGACCCGTCAAATATATTGATGGGGTCCCCTGGACTCCCACTTTTGTAAGGCTAGATAAAACCCTGCAGTTATTCATGTGTTTGTTGCGTACTCAGCATTATTACCTACCCGTGTAGGATACTGCAGTGTAATATTTTTACGGCAATATTACACTAGTGTAATACCAAGACATTCAAGATGTTGTACCCACATACCCACTGTTGCTGCAACATGCCTGTTGTTAAACCCCTTCTTCTACTATCATACCTGTTCTCTACCCTTTCTTCTATCCACTTGTTCTACAAGCAGAGATGCTGTTCTACCCACTATTCTACCAGTATACCAGCTCTTTTACCATTTTTCAGCCTGTTGTTCTATGCATTATTCTATCAACATACCTTTTGTTCTATGCATTATTCTATCAGCACACCTTTGTTCTATGCATTATTCTACCAACATACCTTTTGTTCAATGCATTATTCTACCAACATACCTTTTGTTCTATGCATTATTCTACCAACATACCTTTTGTTCTATGCATTATTCTACCAACATACCTTTTGTTCTACAACATACCTGCTGTTTCCCAACTTACCTGTTGTTCTACCAACATGGCCATATCCATAAACATATCGTGCAGCTCTCGTATACTGTTCTCCAGCTTGATGATGTCATTATGCCGGGCTTCTATGTCCGCTAATGTTTGTTTCGCTTGCTGCGTCTCCATGATGATCTGGAACACAGAGATGAACATCACGATACGAATAACTACAGCCTGCTGGACGTGAGAATTCCACAATACTCAAGGCGGTCCACAAAATGTGGGGAACAATGTGGCTCAGGAGGGTAATAACCACTTGTGTAAATACGACTAGATAGGTACATACTCCCTTGGTGAATATGACTAGATGGGGACATTCCCCTTGGGTGAATATGACAAGATGGGTACATACCCCTTGGGTGAATACGACTAGATGGGGACATTCCCCTTGGGTGAATACGACTAGATGGGGACATTCCCCTTGGGTGAATATGACAAGATGGGTACATTCCCCTTGGGTGAATACTGACTAGATGGGGACATTCCCCTTGGGTGAATATGACAAGATGGGTACATACTCCCTGGGTGAATACGACTAGATGGGGACATTCCCCTTGGGTGAATATGACAAGATGGGTACATACCCCTTGGGTGAATACGACTAGATGGGGACATTCCCCTTGGGTGAATATGACAAGATGGGTACATACCCCTTGGGTGAATACGACTAGATGGGGACATTCCCCTTGGGTGAATATGACAAGATGGGTACATACCCTTGGGTGAATACAACTAGATGGGTACATACCCCTTGGGTGAATATGACTAGATGGGTACATACCCCTTGGGTGAATATGACTAGATGGGTACACATACCCTTGGGTGAATCACGACTAGGTGGGGACATTCCCCTTGGGTGAATATGACTAGATGGGTACATACCCCTTGGGTGAATACTGACTAGATGGGGACATTCCCTTGGGTGAATATGACAAGATGGGTACATACTCCCTGGGTGAATACAACTAGATGGGTACATACCCCTTGGGTGAATATGACTAGATGGGTACATACCCCTTGGGTGAATATGACTAGATGGGTACATACCCCTTGGGTGAATATGACTAGATGGGGACATTCCCCTTGGGTGAATATGACAAGATGGGTACATACTCCCTGGGTGAATACAACTAGATGGGTACATACCCCTTGGGTGAATACAACTAGATGGGTACATACCCCTTGGGTGAATATGACTAGATGGGTACATACCCCTTGGGTGAATACGACTAGGTGGGGACATTCCCCTTGGGTGAATATGACTAGATGAGTACATTCATGACTAGATGGGTACATTCCCCTTGGGTAAATACGATTAGATGGGTACATACCCCTTGGGTGAATATGGCCGGGTTACCAGACTCGAGCATATCCTCCAGCTCCTCATTGGTTGTTGTTCTGCCAGCTACAATGAGAAACAGAATCTAGTTACTCCTCTGTACATATAGACAGTCAGTCTTATTATAACATGTGTTTTCAGAGCCAGGAGAGGTCAGATTCGATATCAAACAACCAAGTAACAGATGGATACTGAAAGATTTCCCAAATTTAAACAATAATTAAAATCTGTTACAAAACATTAATATTTGCTGTTGTAAACAAGTATTCATTTCCCTTCAAACTTTTATTGTGTACTAATCTGTTCTTGTGTATTATTATGAAATGCCTATATCATGTAAGGCTCTCCCCTGCCTCTGGATGGCAACAGTCCAATATGTGTCGTACTCTATATCAGTATGTTATACTCTATATCAATGTGTAAAACTATATATCAATGTTATACTCTACATCACAGCATTATACTACATATCATGTTATACTCTATATCAATGTGTAAAACTATATATCAATGTTATACTCTACATCACAGCATTATACTACATATCATGTTATACTCTATATCAATGTGTAAAACTATATATCAATGTTATACTCTACATCACAGCATTATACTACATATCAGTAGGTTATACTGTATATCACTACATCATAAATGCCATAAATCAAATGAACATGTGCTAAATTACATGATATTCCACACTTTAGGCTGCTTACACTACCTTTTCCCACAAAGTGACCGTAGCTCTACGACTATCCCAGGTTATGTTAGAGTACTGGAGTTAAGATAGTCATGGTGCTCAGATTGATTTGTGGAACAAGGTCAAGGCCAAATACTGTCCATCTCCAACAGAGAGAATCATAAATATTCTGACTGATAAACTAAAATTTAATAAATAAATTTATAAATTAAATTCAAATTTGAAACTTTAATATTTTCTTTAAAATATCCACAAATACATCATAATATCTGTCTCATACAAAACAACGTTTAACAAAACATACTCGCATGAACCATTGTAAAAGATTATAATTATCACGAAAATGTAAGTAAGAAAGTATGTAATTCATGAGCAAAGAAAAAACTCAAAAGAAAATAATGTTTCTCAGTATGTTGAATATGTGGTAAAGAGTTTCAATGCACAAAGCAAACACTAGCCATATTGATGAAAAATAGACTTATAAACTGTGGAGGATGAGGTCTAGATGATAGAGTATTTGAACTTCTAAAAGTTTGTGTTGAAAGATGAGAATTGTGCATGATATGCTATATAAACTGCAGGCTATAGATACTCAGAGCACTGATCACAATGTCCAGGTTATACGTGGAATATAAACCAGAGCTGTTAGGGGATATATATCAATATAAATAATATACAGCATGCAGTATTGAGTCACCTCATCCTCGCCGTCAGTGTTTTACTAGCATTGGCTTATGCGCGAACGTAATGAGCACTTTACGCAAAATTTAAAGCATTTTGAACAAATATCTATCAAATGCAGTATTAAGCAGATATTCACTTGGCGGGTATCTAATTACTAGACCATTTCTACCACTAACATGTTCACATGTTCATAATTGATATTCAAATTCCATGCAGCTCTTTCTCTTCTAATCTAAGCTCTTTCTCTATTAATTTGTTGGAGCCTGAAAATTCATTACTTGAAAATCTTGTTTCTATATATCCTCAAATATTTGTATGTAATCATCTCTAAAAACCTTAAAACTAGGTGACACTCCACTACTCATCCTAATGTTTTGCTTTGAGTGACAAGCATGCTTTTTAAATTTCCAAATATAGACATCTATATGACGCATGTACTATATATATGGCGTAGAATGTGTCTATTTTCAATTTATTGATTCTTCATTTACTGCCCATGCCAAGTTAACATGCTGTCTGGAGTCTAACTCTAACAAGGGGAGGTAACTCAGCTTACTGATCTCCAACTGTCTTTGGATGCGGCCTTTACACCTCTCCCGATAGTCGATCTGGCATGCGTTGTAATCGTTCATAACTTCAACAAATTTGCGTGATAACGTGGCATGCTGAGTATCAGAAAAAAAGAAAAGGAATCATGAATGACTGCCACACTCTGCAATTCAAAATAATAACAGCTTCTAGCTAAGAATGATGTAGATCAGTTCTCTCCCTTGGTCCAGGTTGACTCATTTTGACACCAGGTGGACAAGAATCCACGTGCCAAAGAGTTGCAAAACAGGTACCGGAAGCCAAGGAGACAACTGATTTGCACAAAAGAAAATACTCTGAATGATAATAATAAAAGGTATCTATGTCTACAGAAAACCCGTGATTTTCTTACTGATCTCCATTTGCCGCTGTATCCTATATTTGCAGCGATCTCGGTAGTCAAGCTGGGCCTTGTTGTACTCGCCCATAGCGTCAATAAACTGACGCTAGAGATAGTCGCATACTACAAGAAAACCATGGTGACCTGATTATTCCCACTATACCTACAGCTTCCCACTTACAACAGAAACAATGGCTCGGGTTCAGGGATTTAACTGGACCTGCTCAGGACTTTCTCAGCTGGTTTACATGACCGACCAACCCACAAACCCAGAAACATTTTCTTTAAATACCCAAAACATTTTATGCAAATCGATTCAAACAATATAAAAATAAATCACCTCTCTTTGTAATAATTGGTGAATAATGCCTATTTACATCTGTACTTTAACAAAAACAACATTTCTTCATCTTCTACAACTGTACTCTTTTTTTTGTATTGCACTCATTAGTATTATCCTCAAAGCTGAAAAATATCTTTTCTTTTCTCTCTCAATTACCTACACTCAATTTCAGACCAATTTTGGGGTAAACCAACTTGATAAAGTATAAATGGCCTGAGGCTGATATTTACCCGAAGTCTGAAGTCAATGTCAGTACAAACTTGAAAAACCAAATCATGATGTTACTGACACCTAATATTATGTCTTAAAGAGGCTTTTTTTTTTACTCGCACATCTTTTACACTCTCGCATTGAACAAGTTGAATACAATGTGAAAACAGAAAAAGAGTTTCAACAAAAGTACCAGCTATACATTTTTTCACTCCTTTTCAATTTGCCAAGGTCATTGGAGTGAGTTGGACTTAATACTGCTTTAAACAATATTTCAGTTATATCACAGCGTCTCAGCTTGATGAAGGAAGAAAAGGTCTGAAGGGTAGCAGGTTTTGGATGGTTAAGGCCACGAGTATGCGTAATTTTCTAGAAACATAATCATCAGGATTCATTTCACCATCATGGGTTCTCAACCAAGGGATGCAACTCTGCACAGCAAGTTGCATGTGTAAAGAGTTACGTCCCCTTCTACAACTGAGCCATCAGTGACCCTTGATGTAATATTTACTGAATGATGATGAAGGCTGAAAGAGAAATTACTTTATTACCTGTATTCCTTATCCCCAGTGCTACACACTGAACTTTGAACTTCTAAACTTAAAACAATTTGAGATAATTTGAATAAGCTGAAATGTCAACAACATAGGCTTTGTTTGTGTGTGTAATGCCACACACTGCTTTGATTCAGCTTTATCATTCTTTGAATATTTGAGTCTTGAACAGACAATCCAGTGGGTGACATAATGAACAACTATCTAGCAGCTGAGGTGCAGTAGGTGTTATCGACCAAGTCACCGGACTCGCCACCTGATCACCCGTAGATACCATTTAGAACCAAACACACTGTCACTTAGACACACTACACTAGTCCAACCAGCGCTTGCTATTATCTGCTCAGTGCTGAGGCAGTGGGGTAGCCTAGTGGTTAAAGCGTTCGCTCGTCATGCCGAAGATCCCAGCTCAATTCCCCACATGGGTACAATGTGTGAAGCCCATTTCTGGTGTCCACCGCCATGATATTGCTGGAGTATTGCGAAAAGCAGCATAAAACTAAACTCACTCACTCCGCTCAGTGCCAAACATGATGCCGGGTAGCACGAAGCACAAGACATTCTTCCATCATGGAAACAGTTAGGATAAATATCATAAATAAAATCAACTTATACACAAACATGACTCTCTCTTTAATAACAGTACCTGTATAAGAATTTTAGGCAATGAATATGGATGATATTGATTTTGCCACTTCAGAATCAAGAAATTCTTTGACTATACACATATAAACTGAACATGTACGATCTCTGAGATCCCTTGTGTACAGCAATCAATACACAACATGTAAAAGATATCAGTGGCTTATTCTTGCTGAAACAAATGTTGCCATTAAAATATGTCAGGCGCATGTCCTGTGAGGGGGGGGATCATTTCAACAACATAGCTATATACAAGCAATAAACCAGCAATAATACTAAGCAATATACCCCAGCCATATCTTTTCAATAACAAGCAACATAGTCCAGGAACATCCCAGCAATATCACTAACTTGTGCCCATACTATGAACATCACTCTGTTGTGAAGCTACAATTAATGTCACCCTGAGCCCATGTAATCAACAGCACTCTGTTGTGAAGCAATTCATTAACATCACCCTGAGCCCATGTAATCAACATCACTCAGGTGTGAAGCTACAATTAACATCAACCTGAGCCCATGTAATCAACCGTTAAGATCACTCTGGTGTGAAGCTACAATTAACATCACCCTGAGCCCATGTAATCAACATCACCCCTGGTGCCCCTATAATCAACATCCCCAGTGCCCATGTCAACAACATCACCCTGAGCCCCTATAATCAACATCCCCTGGTGCCCCTATAATCAACATCCCCTGGTGCCCCTATAACCAACATCACCTGGTGCCCCTATAATCAACATCCCCTGGTGCCCCTATAATCAACATCAAACGGTGCCCCTATAACCAGCATTCCCTGGTGCTCCTATAATCAACATCCCCTGGTGCCCGTATACTCAACATCTCCTGGTGCCCTATAATCCACATCCCCAGTGCCTATGTAAACAACATCCCTTGTGCCCCTATAATCAACATCCCCTTGTGCCCCTGTAACCAACATCCCTTGGTGCCCCTATAATCAACATCCCCGTGCCCCTATAATCAACATCCCCTGGTGCCCCTATAATCAACATCCCCTAGTGCCCCTATAATCAACATCCCCTGGTGCCCCTGTAACCAACATCCCCTGGTGCCCCTATAATCAACATCCCCTGTTGCCCGTATAATCAACATCACCTGGTGCCCGTATAATCAACATCCCCTGGTGCCCCTATAATCAACATCCCCAGTGCCCCTGTAACCAACATCCCCTGGTGCCCATATAATCAACATCCCCTGGTGCCCTATAATCAACATCCCCTGGTGCCCTTATAATCAACATCCCCAGTGCCCCTGTAACCAACATCCCTGGTGCTCCTATAATCAACATCCCCTGGTGTCCCTATAACCAACATCCCCAGTGCCCTGTAACCAACATCCCCTGGTGCTCCTATAATCAACATCCCCTGGTGCCCCTATAACCAACATCCCCTGGTGCCCCTATAATCAACATCTCCTGGTGCCCGTATAATCAACATCCCCTGGTGCCCCTATAATCAACATCCCCTGGTGCCCCTGTAACCAACATCCCCTGGTGCCCCTATAATCAACATCACCAGTGCCCCAGTAACCAACATCCCCTGGTGCCCCTATAATCAACATCCCCTGGTGCCCCTATAACCAGCATCACCTGGTGCCCCTATAATCAATATCCCCTGGTGCCCCTATAACCAGCATCCCCTGGTGCCCCTATAATCAACATCCCCTGGTGCCCTATAATCAACATCCCCTGGTGCCCTATATAACCAACATCACCCGGTGCCCCTATAACCAGCATCCCCTGGTGTCCATATCATCATCATCTCCTGGTGCCCGTGTAATCAACATCCCCTGGTGCCCCTATAATCAACATCCCCGTGCCCCTATAACCAACATCACCTGGTGCCCTTATAACCAACATCCCCTGGTGCCCCTATAATCAACATCCCTGGTGCCCCTATAATCAACATCCCTGGTGCCCCTATAATCAACATCCCCTGGTGCCCCTATAATCAACATCCCCTGGTGCCCCTATAATCAACATCACCTGGTGTCCATATAATCAACATCCCCTGGTGCCCCTATAACCAACATCCCCAGTGCCCTGTAATCAACATCATCCCTGGTGCCCCTATAATCAACATCACCTGGTGCCCGTATAACCAACATCCTCTGTGCCTCTGTAATCAACATCACCTGGTGCCCCTGTACTCAACATCACCTGGTGCCCCTATCACCAACATTACCTGGTGCCCCTATAACCAGCATCACCTGTGCCCCTATAACCAACATCTCCCTTGTGCCCCTATAATCAACATCACCTGGTGCCCCTATCACCAACATCACCTGGTGCCCCTTTAACCAGCATTCCCTGGTGCCCCTATAATCAACATCCCCTGGTGCCCCTATAACCAACATCCCCTGTGCCCCTGTACTCAACAGCCTCTCCTACTCAAACCTGACAAGCAAGCTAATCAATGCTAAGTAGATGCCCTCTCTTTAAAACTGCTACATTTTTGTTCATTACACTGGCATAAAAAGGCTAATGATTATATTTTCGCTTTCTTCTCAAGGCAAGATTTTTGTTCTACATTTCAGCATGGCAAATCAATAGTTGCTTCAGGAAAGTTAATGAGGCAACATTTCGTGCAAAGAACGCACAAGTTACTGATTCTATTCAAAAGCTTGAACTTTGTACTCTCACTGGGCTTTGGGTTGGTGAATCCTTCAAAGTCAACAAACATTATCATCCACCAGTGGGAACAACTGGCAATATCAAAAATACAATCATGAAAAAACGAAACACAACAAAAAAAGAACAGTGTTATCCTGATGCTCAATCAGTAGAGGACATTCAAAGGCACTGCCGCTCATCTGATCTTATTGAGAGGTTCTTGAATTCAGCCAACTAAAAATACTGGTCTTGACAAGCTGCAAAAAAACATCTGAACTTTCTTTTGATAAATACACTGCAATATGTTGCTGCTTGGTTAAAATGTTACAAAACAAATAAGAACCTGAAATTTATCTGACGAGAAACTTGTTCCCCATATTTTTCTTCTCTACATAAAGAGAGTACTTCCTGCCACATATACACGATAGTGAAATACAATCACTGGCCCTCAGAATAACATTTAGATCCAGAAATGCAGTTATTTTATTTGAAAATAGATATCAACAGAGCAAATTCCAAAGGAGACCAGAATAATGCTTCATTACAGACCTGAAGCAATTAAGACTTGCCAAAACCATTCTTAACTTGAATACTGTATATTTTTAATTTAGTCTCTTGTTCCCCTGTGTCTCTTCAGTTGAGTGAAGATTCATTCAGCTAGCCACCTGATACACAAATAAAACAGTAAAAAGACCATAATGTTATTAAATATGATCAATACAACCAATACATTGTGACACTCAGAACAAAATAGTTTTGTTTTCGTAGAACGCCATCATACTTCCGCTTGTCCTCTACCACTCCCCAAATGATTTAATGTAAAATATCTAATAATATTCTCAAGCTATTATTGCAAAATCCAACCATTGTGTACATTAAGGGGAGACAACTCATGTGAACTATTAATTACCAGGCGTTCCTGCAGCCCCTGCTTACACATTGAAGAATATGGTATTGATTTTCAGCCGAGTCACACATTCAGCTAACAGATTTAGTTACTTGGGTGATTTCTAGTTTGATCAAGTAACCAAACTTCAAAGGGTTTACAAGTGTTGGGAATGAATAGAAGAGGTAATTCCCTGCATCCGCACAATGACAGAGAATGTATTTGATCGTATTCACGGGCAGCTGAAATCTGTTTATAACATAAAGTCATCATGAACGCAGTCATTTGTAAACATCCATCTTCCAACTTGGCAGTAATGTGAAATCATCATGATACAAGACGGTTGCTACAGTACCTGTGTTTTCCTAATTCTGAGGTCTGCTGACGATTTGTTGGAATGCTCCTCTTGTTCAATATTTTGTTCGATAACTGAAAGAAAAAGACAAGCAATTGAATACATATAAACTACAACAGTATATATTGTTTAACACTGACAATATATTCCTGCAATGTATGCCAAAGAGACAACAGTCAGTCAAATCATCAAACACAGCCACCCAATCCACTAAGGTGCATCCTCCAACAAGCATAGATGACTGGGGAAATACAACACTAGACCCTGGAAAGGAATCAAACCCAAATCTTTACTGTTGTTAGCGAACACACAAACCAAGAGATTGCAATTCAACCAAATGAAGGACTTTCCCTGTACTAATGCTTCAATACTACTGGACTTTCCCTGTACTAATGCTTCAATACTACTGGACCTTTCCTTACTAATGCTCCAATACTACCAGACTTTCCCTGTACTAATGCTTCAATACTACAGGACTTTCCCTGTACTAATGCTTCAATACTACAGGACTGACTGACTGAGTTTGGTTTTACGCAGCTTTTAGCAATATTCCAGCAACATCACGGCGGGGGACACCAGAAATGGGCTTCACACATTGTACCCATGTTGGGATTCGAACCCGGGCCAACACTTTAACCATTAGGCTACCCCACCACCCCAATACTACAGGACTTTCCCTGTACTAATGATCCAATACTATAGGACTTGCCCTTACTAATGATTCAATACTACAGGACTTTCCCTGTACTAATACTTCAATACTATAGGACTTTCCCTGTACTAATGCTCCAATACTACAGGACTTTCCCTGTACTAATGCTTGATCAATACTACAGGTGCTTTAATAATTCAGGTCTTGACCTGACTAATGCTTCAATACTACAGGACTTGTCCTGACTGATGCTTCAATACTACAGGACTTTCCCTGTACCAGGGAGACTATATAACGGGGAGTGGTCACTCCTCGAAAAGCCCCTTAGCGTATGCCTCGGCTCGTCACGTGACCAGTGTAGCCAATATGGTGGCAGCGTAGTTTTTATGATTGAGCCCGGTTTATTTTCAACAGCTGATTACATTCGCTGAGTGTTGTGACAACTGAAAACCTACATGTAGAAGATAAGTTACCTATTCTGTCACTTCATTTTAAGTCAAATAATTGTTATTAGTGTCAGTATTAGTACAGTAGATTTGTAGTAAAGTTTCAAGTCGGCATGTTGTAGCTCACTGGCTTCAATTCTCGGTACACAGCAAAGAAAGACTAAATTCTATCGCTAAAAACTTCTTTCACAAATTCGTTTAATTTTTAGAAGGAAATATACCTTTAGTTGAAAGGTGTTTGCAAGTAATAGTGATAGTTTTATAACTAAAAAACAATTGTTAGGGTGTATTTGAGGTGTGTGAAAATATGACATATCGCCGATCTGCCATTGAAATACTAGACTGCAGGGCGTTGTTTGAGTGTTTCTAGTTATTGTTCTAAAACATCTTTCACATACACCTTTAATTTTTATGAGGGGAATATACCATCAGATGAAAGGTGTTTAGGTGATATAGTGATAGTTTTATAAAAAAATTTTTTTTGTTAGGGTGTATTTGAGGTGTGTTAAAAATATGACATATCGCCGATCTTTTCTGATCCGCCATTGATGCTTGTGATGCTTGAGTGTTATAGTTCTAAAACTTCTTTCTTTCTTGTTGATCTTAGTATTTGACAAAACTGGAAAGGTGTTTACAACGCTTTGTGATAGTTCTAAACTTTCTGTTTTTGAGGGGTGTGTGACAGTGTCAGTTAACATTCTGTCAATGTCCATGCCATTCCACACATGCAATAAGATATCTGAATTAATTACTAATGTAAAAAATGTCTCAAAGTAGATTTTTTTAAAAAAGGACAGCTGATGTTAACACATGTGTTCTAGCGATAGTTTTGTGCTCTTTAACATGTTTGGGGAGGGATGGCCGTGGTGTATCATTTATTCTTTCATTCGTTCACATATGTATTTCTTTCTTTTGTTCTTTTCTTTATTTCTTTCATTCATTCACATATAATTCTTGCTCTTCATTCATTCATTCATTGTAAAATTCCGACTGATACAAGAAACTGGCTGAAGTACTGTTAAACGCAGCCGAAGTTGCGCTGAGGAAAGAACCAAGTCGCTGTGTGCGTTGGACATGACGAGCTAATTAGTACAAATGGTGAAGAAAGCAAGGGAGTGACCCATCCCTTTTGTAGATAATCCCCGAATATTACAGCATTTGTCCTTCTTATGCTAGGACCCGGATGTATAACACCGATGATGATGATGATGATGATGATGATGATGATGATGATGATGATGATGATGATGATGATGATGATGATGATTGTTTGTTTATTTGTATGAATGTTTGCATTTTTGTCCAACACCAAATTACAACATTCCAGGTCTATGACAGCAGCTTGTAAACAATCCAGACCAGGCAATTCAGTAACTAATCCACATCGTCCAGGTACCAGGACACTCTTTGAAACAACAGTAAATGAGCCATGAAACCCAATCAATCAAATTGCCTGTTACAACCCTGGAATCCCAATGGATCCACACCAAGTAAATGTTTCTGTCCACATTGTCAAACTGTGTTACACAATGCCACCGATATCACTGCCACCATTGTCCAGGAACAACGTATGATTTATGGAAGAAGATGGCTGATAACGTGATACAGAACAACAAACAACAGTTACAATATGGAGGATTATCTTTCACTGGGGAATCAGGAGGAAACATTAGCCCTGATTGATCTCTTCAGATTCACAGATAGATTGACTGTGTTATTGCTGTTGTATTGTGTTGTTGTTTTCCTGAGTGAGTTTAGTTTTACACCGCTTTTAGCAATATTCCAGCAATATCACTGCGGGGGACACCATAAATGGGCTTCACACATTGTACCCATGTGGGGAATCAAACCCGGGTCTTCGGTGTGATGAGCGAATGCTTTAACCATTGGGCTACCCCTATGCCCCTCCGGGACTCAATGCAAGGTGACACTGGCTGGTTGCAGAAACAATGTTGAGTGAGTGAGGTGGTTTTAACAGAGACTCTATACAGTGTCTTAGTATCATATACACCAGGTTATCTGAGTGTACCAACGTAGGATACTATGCCCCTATATACACACCAAGGACATATTTTTAGATTATCTGAGTGTAAAAGATGGATACTCGCAGCTCAACACGTCTCATCATCCCAAATGGTTATCGCAAGCTGATACCAGTAAAAAGATATCAATTATTGCTATGTCAGCACATGGACAACATGTCAACAAAAACTCTCCAGGACAGAATTAGTTCTATAATCGCCTGGTCGGCATCCTGTTATTCATCACATGGGACATCGGCTCCCTAGGGCCCTGGCAACTCATTACACAACAGTCATGTGACTGCAATAAATATCACCAAGACCGTAACAGTGAGGCTATCAATGCCCCAAGATTGGCAGCCGGATAATCAGCCTCGTCACACCACCGCAACATCACATACATTACACATTCTCCCCAGCTGTCGATGGGGCACGAATCAGGTTCTTCAATACCTCCAGCCCACTGAAGCTACTGACCCTAATAAACTGGCCTTATGGTGGTGTTACCAACAGTCACGGGATTAGGGGATATTAAAATCACTTCATATACAACTGATAATTATCATGTATTGTTGGCTTTCAAAATTATTTAGTACACTTGTGGTGGATATTTCCCAATTTGATAAACAGTAACAAAAAATGAGGTAAAGGATGCAAATCACTGTTTGAGTTGTTCCATATGTTTTCTTTTTTTCCCGGTGACGAAATTACTTGACTTTTTGTGGAGACTCTGACAAAGGACGTGTTTGCCATTTTGCAACCACCTGGTGTCATTAATATTTGATAGTTATTCACAAACATATGCTTAAGATATAGTCAGATTTGTAAAACTTTCTGCAGTTAGAAGGGATTTCTCATGAATAGGGTAAAGGTTGTGTCACTTTCAATTTTTAATCTTTACCATTTCATAGTAATTCATGAACACATGCCCATGATATAATAAGGCCTGTACAATATTACTCTCAGCAGATTTCTTGTGAGAATGTAAAGGGGATCTAAAATCTTTTGATGCAAATGATAAAGTCACTGATAATTTTATATATATTTGTGGTGAAAATATATAACGTTGTTAGTGATTTTTCGTAATTTGTAACAATGTTATTTTTCATCCTTTTTGTTTATTGCTTAATGCCCCACTCAGCAAAATATTCGTGCTATGACAGTGGTGTGTGAATAATCAGATCCGGATCAGGCAATCCAGTGACTGACATCATGAGCATCGACCACACTACAAGAATGAGATGACATCCTGTAAGCCTGACCACCTGATCCCAACAGTCATCTCTTGACACAAGCATGGATACGTCCAGATTTGTGTTTTCAAGCATGAGCAGATGGTATGTCAGTGTTCACGAATAGCGTCTGACCCTCTGACAAATCCGGCAGATTTGCCAACGGTCCGATAGAAGTCTACAACCCGCCAGCCCCAATGTCAGACTGTATATTTCACAACGACTTTGACCGAAGTTGTTATATGTGACATGTGACACTTGTTTGCTGTTTGTAAATCTTATACTTGTTAATAATTTAATGCCAATTATAACAAATGTTAAACCTGAAATGTGTGTTTAATTTTATTCTTTGGGTCCTGTGAACATTGAATGGGTCAGACAGACACCTGAAACTTACAGGACCCACTGTCCTGTTACTTTGAAACACCATTCGTGAACACTGGTATGTACATATTCACAACAAAAAGTGAATAACATGATATTAATGCTAGATATTAACCTGCAATACCGTTTTTACATATGGATACATGGAGGGCCACTATACAGTTGAGAGTGGATAAAGCATCATTGTATTGATCCTATTCCTCAATGCTTCTACAGGACCTCAGCTTCCAACACCCACACAAAGTTTCTTCAGCAGTGTTGCATTATGGGAAGGGTCAGAAAACAAATCGTCACCGACTAGTAGGTCATTGATAGCCACCTTTGTTGTATGTCATATTA